ATTTGAATCGAAGGAGTTAATGACCTAGTTGAAAGAGTTGTTGGATAAAGGTTTCATCAGACCTATCGCATCTCCTTGGGGTGCTTCCGCATTATTTGTTAAAAAGAAAGATAGGATGATGAGAATGTGTATTGACTACCGGGAATTGAACAAATTGACCATAAAAAATAAATATCATTTGCCGAGAATCTATGATTTATTTGATCAGTTATTTGGGCTAGTTACTTCTCAAAAATCGATTTGCAGTTGGGATAGCATCAATTGAAAGTGTGGGACGAAGATATCACTAAAACTGTTTTCCGAACCAAATATGGGCATCATTAGTTTTTGTTTATGCCATTCGGATTAACTAATGCTCCAGTCGCATTTATGGATCTGATGAATAGAGTATGTAACGAATACCTCGATAAATTTATTATCGTATTTATCGATGATATTCTTATTTACTCACGATCAAAAGACGAACATGTTGAATATCTTCATCTGATTCTCGAACTTTTAAAGATGGAGAAGTTGTATGCAAAACTTTCAAAATGTGAATTTGGTTAAGAGAAATTCAATTCATAGGTCACATTGTTTCAGAGGCAGGCTTAAAAGTTAATCCTGCAAAGATTGAAGCCATTGAAAGATAGGAAGTGCCGAAAACACCAACCGAGATCCGCAGTTTCTTGGGGTTGGCAGGGTACTATAGAGTTAAGTATTCAAGATTTCTCTCGGATCGCTGCACCTTTTACGAAATTGACAAGAAAGAGCGTTAAGTATGAATGGGGAGAAGATCAAATTAAAGTCTTCCAGTTGTTAAAAGATCGGTTATGAAGTGCTCCAATATTATCTTTAGCAAATGAGCCGGAAGATTTTATGGTTTACAGTGATGTTTCAAGGTTGGGTTGGGATGTATATTGATGCAATGGGAAAACATTATTGCGTATGCTTCCAGACAATTGAAGGATCATGAAAAACAATATCTTACACACGATATGGAGCAGAGAGAGTCTTCAACATTTGTATAACCAGAGAGAGTTGAATATAAGGCAAGGATGATGAATTGAACTGGTGAACGATTACGATTGTGAGATTCTTTATCATCCTAGGCAAATGTGGTGGCTGACGCACTCAGCAGAAAAGAGAAGAGTGGAACAATCAAAGTCGTTGCATTGGGAGTAAACTTAATCCTTAACATTCTTGATGAGATCCTGAGGTGTTAGAACGATGCGATTAAAGGGGAGAATATCAAAAGTGAAAGAGTTGGAGGGATGTTAGCAATTCTGATAAAGAATGATAGCGAAATTCTATGTTTCCAAAGAAGAATATGGGTTCCTCGTCTCGGAAACAATTGTGAGTTAATTTTGGATGAATGTCACAGATCTCGATACTCAATTCACCCATGTACCAATAAAATATACAAAGATTTAAAACCATCCTATTGGTGGTCGGGGTTGAAGAAAGATATTGCACGATACGTTGAACGATGTTTGACGTGTCTACAGGTAAAAATAGAGCATCAACGACCCTATAGGAATTTACAATCCTTATAAATTCCTATCTGGAAATGTAATCATATCACGATGGATTTCATATTGAAACTACCGCGAACTCCAAAAGGATATTGATGCTATTTGGGTTATCGTGGATCGTCTGACAAAGTCTGTACACTTTCTACCGATCAAAGAAAATTATCCGTTAGAAAGACTTGCAAAGATTTACATCGATGAAGTTGTGAATCGTCATGGTGTTCTTTTATCAATCATTTTCAAATAGAGACAACCTGTTTACCTCCAAATTCTAGGAAAGCTTTCAGAAAACCATGGGATCTTAGATTTGATTAAGCACGCCGTATCACCCACAAGCTGATGGGCAAAGTAAGAGAATAATTTAGACCCACGAAAATATGTTAACAGCTTGTATCATTGACTTCGGGGGATCATGGGAGAATCATCTACCATTGATTGAATTTGCCTACAAGAACAATTCTCATTCCAGTATCCAAGAGGCAACGTATGAAGTTTTGTATGGCTGAAAATGTAGAACGTCATTATGTTGGAAGAAGGTGGGAGAGAAATTGTTGGCTGATCTGGAGATTGTACAGCTAAAAACTGAAAAGATTGATCGAATCCAAGAAAGAATAAAGACAGCCCAGAACCGATAAAAGAGCTATACCAACAAAAGCCAAAAGTCGATTGAATTTTTGGTAGGAGACTATGTGATGATCAAAGTTTTGCCGTGCAAGGGTATTTTCAGTTTCAAGGAGAGAGGTAAACGTAGTCCGAGGTATATTGGGTCATTCAGAATCAGTAAATGGATCTATATAGTAGTGTATCAGTTAGAGTTTCAAGAAGAACTCAACGCTATTCCCAACAATTTCCATGTTTCAAATTTGCGAAGGTGTTTAGCTGATCCCAATATAGTCGTACCACTACCTGAGATTCAGATTGATAACAAGTTGAATTTGTGGAAACCCCAGAGGTCGTCACTAACCGGAAGACTAAAGTGTTGAGAAATAAAGAAATTGGTTTGGTGGAAGTCCAATGGCGATTTCATAAAGGGCAGAAAGCTACTTAGGAACTAGAGTCTGAAATGAGAAGTAATATCCTCATCTATTTGATCGATTGAATTTCGGGACATAATTATTTTAAGGGGAAGATAATGTTATAACCAGATTTTTGGTTACAAAGTTTGGGGTTGTTCTTGAAGAATTGTGAAAGTTGAAGTGTTGTTTTGAAAAGTTATGTTAAAAATATCCAAGTGTTTCCACCGCCTCATTTAAAGATATATATATATATATATATATATATATATATATATATATATATGTGTGTGTGTGTGTAGTAGTGCCATGATATTTCCTTTTTTGGAGAATTAAAAAGAGAAAAGAAGTGTGTGTGTATTATACTCTGGTTCGAGAAAACAGAAGCAGAAACCTAAGGGAGGAAGAAGAATTCGACTATTTGCTCTTAAACTGTCGTTGTTATTGAGTTATCATCTTCATCTACTGTGTTTTAAAAGGTGAGTTTTACTTTAAAAACATTTTAATGTGTTTTTGGGTGAAGAAACCCAATGGTTTCATACGTAAATATTTGGTGATCATATGCTATTTATTAGCATAAGTTCTAGGTTTTGTTATAATTTTATCATCTGATTGTAATAAAGATGGCATAATCAGGAGATGATTATATCTTTGTAATAAGGGTTGCATAATCAGAAGTTAGGTATACTGAATAAGGGTGGCATAATCAAATTCTTGAAAATGGTGTTATCACATCTATATGGTGCGATGAGTGTGAATTTTATCGCATAGCGTGATGGGATGAAATTGAGATTAAAAATTTAAGTGTTGGTTATCACATCCTTGTGATGCGACATATTGAGTTATCGCACTAGTATGATGTGAGGAGTTACTGTTATCGCATCTATAGGTGCGACAAGGGTGTTTATCGCATCTGTTGGATGCGACAAAAGATGGTTATTGCATCCTTGTGATGCGCCAATTTTGGGTTATCGCATTAATGAGATGCGAGGAATTATTATCGCATCCTTGAGGTGCGACAAAGAGGTTATCGCATGTAGGATGCGACAATTTGATCATTTGTTTATTTAATGCGGTAAGTTTGAGACTTCAATTGGTTATGATGCGATAAATGAAGTTGTCTCATCTCTATGATGCGACAAAGAGGTTTGTTTCGATAAAATACTGTTTATTTGTTATTTATACAAATATGGGCTTTATAAAAGTATTTTGGTGATTTTCACCCTATAATAGCAATCAAAAGGGATTTCTCACTAGACCTCATGGTGTAACCTCATTTTGTGTTTTAAAATGTGCATTACAGGTCAGGTATAATTTGAATATAAGGGATAGGGGAAAATGTGAACGGATCATGGTTGCTTTACATATGTGGATTTTTTTAAGATGTTATATTGTTTGTATTTGAGAACTTGTTATGTGTACAAGTCTTGTACTTGGTATATATGGAAAAACTTTGTAGCTACTTTTGTAGTGTAGCAATTTGTACATTTTCGGACCAATATGTATATTTGTATATCATGTTAAATGAAATATGTAGTTATATGCAAATGTGAAATAAGGTGTTACAAAAAAGAAATTACCATGTGTGAAGGGTAGACGATGGCTAAGGGTTTTGCTGTTTAGAGGCATTGGAAGATATTGCAGATGTGATGAGGGTATTTATGGAATAATCATGGCTGAATATAAAAGACAACTATTTTGGCTGACCGAATAAGCACTCAGCTAAGTATTAAGTCGCAACCAAACATCGATGTATGGCTTACCGAAGAAGCCATACATCTTATGCATCACATTAAGTCACAACCGAATAACCCCCTGAATGTGTTAAAACAAAATTACACACTTGCAAAAGATACTAACCAGTAAATGTGTACTTTCAGTTTATATGTAGTTTCATGATGATCTACTAAAGGTCATCTTCAAAATGTTGTTTTATGTCTACAAATGCAAACGTCGGTAATCAACTAAAATGGAAGAAGACATACACGTATAGACTCGAGGTTTAATTTGGTTTTCAAGTTTGATTTCGAATTTATTTGAATTAGGGTTCTTGTTATTATTCTTGTATAGGGGTAAGTCGATATTCAAGGATTACATTTCTCAGTTCACCAATCAATAATTTTTTTGGTTTGGATAGCTGATCTTGCGGCCCTAATTCAGAAACTTTGAAATAGAGTAATGCCCATGAACCAGTCTCGATTAGCATCCGACTGATTCGGTCTAGATCCGTTTTCGTTTAATCTCAACCGAATAAACGGTCGATTTCAGAACAAAAGAACAAGAGTGAGACAAAAATATCAATCATTTCAACTGTTATTAATAATGTAATAAATTCTGTTAATTATAAAATTATATTAATGTTTTTTTTTATCTAGATTGTTTTTTCCTCTCAAAATCTAGAGAATAAAGTGGGACCCATCTCCATGATCTTGAGAGGGTCCTATCAATTATGCATGAGAATGAAAAACCTTTGATCTCAATGTGATTTTGTGCTACAATGGGGATACACCACGCTGCCATTGATGGGCAGGAAGATCTCACAGTTCATGTTCAGCCAGAACTTCAGCGATCCCAATGGACCAACCCTCCACATCGTTCTCGAACTCCCTTTCAAGAAGAACAACATCATCTTACCTTTATTCAGCGATTGCTGCGTCAAATACCGTTCCTCCGGCGGCAACGGTATCGACGACGACTGCACCACGTAGTTCAACTCCGTCGTCGCGTTCTTCCCTACGTCGAACGGATCCGCCACCAGCTGCGCGATGTTCAGCCCATGGTAACCGAGCAACAGCTTCGTCTCGTAGAAGGTCGCGTGCGCTTTCTGGTTATGGTTCTCGGCGCGAATCAGGATCGTCAACCGGACACTGAGCACGCCCGCCTGGCTGTACAGGATCTGGTCGAGGCGAGAGGCGTGGACGCAGAGAAGCGGCATTTTGGGACGGATGACAAGGTACCCGGAGAACACAATGATTCCGGCGACGATTACGGTGGTGGCGATTAGGGAGCAGATGATGGCGAAGCACCAGACGAAGGGGTTGGTGCGGCGTTGGCGACCTAGTACCGGTGGCTTTGGCATCGGGATAAATATTGGGACAGCATAGAGGGGGTGAAAGTGTAAATGGTGGAATTTATGGGGGTGTGAAAAGGGGATTAAGATTAGGAGGAGATATAGGAAGGGGGTTGAGGCCAAGTTCTTTGGATGTAAATGATGGGAAAGGTTAAGGTACGTTACCTTGATTTAAAGCTACCCTTCATTTCATAATATTATAGTAGATAACTTTTGTACTATTGTTTCTTCACGTTTGAGGTCTTCTAAATCATCAAACATTATGTTATATATACAATTTCTCTTTTATATATATATATATATATATATATATAGTCGGGGTTCAGAGTAAAACTGTAAAAAGTTAAAAACATCTTGATAACTATTACGGATCCGGCACAAAACCCATTTTTCTTGAATTCGTAACGCCAGATCCGTACATAATAGTTACGGACTTGACCCATAAATGTTGATGTTTTTATCGTTTAGTGGGTCCGCAATAATTGTGGACTCGATGACTTCTGGACAAAGTCCGTAGAAAAATGGTTAGAAAGTTAATTTGGTTGTGAAATACGAGTAAATTTGTATTACATATTGTGTAAATCTAGCATTACAAGTTTAGTGAAGACCCCAAATGTACCTTCCAACAGTAAAGGTACCAAAAAGCATAAAGAAGAAAGTCACAAATTCAAGTCTTCTTCCATTCACAAAACTTGTTTGTAACCCATTTTATACTGTAGCTACTCTTTGTGATAGGGGTATTATTGTACATCTAACAAGTTTCCAAATCCTATCCAAGTTATCATGTCTTTAACTTTATTACTTTTCATCTTATTTTTATATGATAATATCTCCTTAAAGAATCATATAAATTGAAATCCTTTTTCTTTCTTGTTCTTTTTCTTGAATATTTACTATTAACCCCCTAATCTTTTTGGATTAACCCTAGAAATGAAGGTATAATTTGCATGTGTCATATCTTTTTGAAAATCTTAAGGGTTTTGTTTAACTCTTAATAGTTTCAATGACGACAACCTTTGAATCGCTAAGAGGTGAATCTTGTTTGACAAAAAAAAGTGTCTGACTCTTAATGGTTCGAAAACCCTCTACACGGTTTTGTATCTAGGGTCTCCTTAACCATTCAATGCCCTAGTTTTACTCTTAATGATTAACAAACAATTATATTTCATTTGCATTATATCACAAGAGTCTCTTAATCATTCTGGGTACTTAATCATTTTGTAACAAACCATTCAGCAACTGCCAAATAATCCTTTATTTAATAGTTATTTAAAAAGAAGGGTAATTTTTTTTATGGTTCAATCATAACTGAAATGTGATAACCAAGTTTATCAGTTATAAAGTTTAGGGTTACTTTTGATTAAAGGCAGAAAGTTGAGGGGGTTGCTTTGAAAATGTGGTTAAAATATTTTAACTCCCCACCCCTTATTTATATAATTGAGTATTATCGTGAGATATTTTTGTTTATCTCTTGGGGTATTTTAAAAAGAAAAGAAATAAAGAAGAGTCTATTTTTTGTGTTCTTGACTAAAATTTGTTGTTTATCATCAGCACATATTTGTGAATTCAAGGTGAGTTTTATTCTGAAAACATCTTTTATTATGTTTTTGGATAAAGAATCGTAAGATTTCATACATGTGTATGTGATGTTATATGTTATTTATTTAGCATAATTTTTGGGTTTTGATATGATTTTATCATCTGACTGTAATAAGGGTGACATAATATGAAAATTGGTATTTTTGGTAACAATGGTGGCATAACCAGGAGATGGATCTTTTTTGTATTAAGAGTGGCTTAATCAGGAACTGGGTATACTGGAAAAACGAAGGGGAGGCAAAGGAAATTCTTGATGTGGTAACAAGTACGTGTCTCATAAACTTAGTATATACAAAGGTGTTATTTGATTCCAATGAAAATTATTCATTTGTATCATCTTTATTTGTTGGGTATTTATACATGAAATATATGCCTCTTGACTATGCCTTAGTAATTGATACTGCTAATAATAGTTAAATATTTGTTACCCATATGTTTAATGACTGTCAAATAAAGATTGAGGGGGTGTGTGTTACCGACCCGAAAGAATTTGACCCAATGGTACGGATGATGATACACCTTTATATGACCCCACATTACACAACTAATCCTCAACAATAAAGATTTTAACAAAAAGCCCCTTGACTTATAAACCTTATAGAACAAGGATATTACATATATTAACGTCTTTTATTTTATAAAATAATGATTAATCAAAATATCAGTCATAAATGTTATTTTTAGTTTGTTTTAACCTTAAAAATATAATTAAGTTTAGATTATTAAAAATATGTATTTTAGTTAAAATATTATTAATTAATTAGAAGAGTACTCGCGCAATGCAGCGAGATACATCTCGATTTTAATGTTCTATTTTATTATTTGTCTATGTCGATGTTATAATACGATTTTATGTGTTTTTAAGAAAGCAATAATGATTTTATTTTTGAATAAAATATAAATTTGAAGATATCATAAAAATTTGAAAAAAAATATATCAATGTTAATATCAAATCAACTTTTTAAAAGTTCTCATTATTTATGTAATTTCTTTAATTTATTTTTTATTATAATTTAATTTAAATTTCATACTGAAATAATTTATTTTTGGTTTAATATTATAGATTTTATAAAGATAATAATTAAGTATTCTGTTGGAATTTAATTATTATCCTAATTATATTTTAGATTCTTTATATTTAAAATGAGATGTTTATCCTGTATTTGATTATATTTATCTGCAGTTAGTTATACGAATTCAGATATGGAGCTTTAATAAGTTGTACTTACACACAATGTACTTGTAATCTTGAGTTGTAAGTAATATGCATTATTAAACAGTACTTTAGGCATAAAAAGTGGCTTTTAAGAGTTTTTGTCAAATGTTTTATAATATAGTATAAATTATGTGTTTTTAAAAAAAGAGTAATGATTTTATTTTTAAAAAAATATAAATTTGAAGATATCATAAAAATTTGAAAAAAAATATATCAATGTTAATATCAAATCAACTATTTAAAAGTTTTCATTTTTTTGGTGTAATTTCTTTAATTCAATCTTTTATTATAATTTATTTTTGGTTTAATAATGAAATAGTTTATTTTTGGTTTAATAATGAAATAATTTATTTTTGGTTTAATAATATAAATTTTATAAAGGTAATAATTAAGTGTTTTGAACTCAATGATTATTCTAATTATATTTTAGATTTTTTATATTTAAAATGAGATGTTTATCCTGCATTTAATTATGTTTATCTGCAGTTAGTTACATAAATTCAGATATGGAACTTTAATAAGTTATACTTACGCACAATCTACTTGCAATATTGAGTTTTAAGTAATATGCATTATTAAACATTATTTTACGCATAAAAAGTGGTTCTTTTGAGTTTTTGTCAAATGTTTTATAAATATAGTATAGATATATTTTTTTATATATATAATTTAATTTAAGTTTAATAATAAAACAATTTATTTTTGGTTTAATATTATAAATTTTATACAGATAATAATTAAGTATTCTGTTATAATTTAATGATTATACTAATTATATTTTAGATTTTTTATATTTAAAATAAGATGTTTATCATGTATTTGATTATGTTTATCTGCAGCTAGTTATACGAATTCAGATATGGGATGAAATCGTATGGGGATGAAATCGTTTATGGATGAATGGGTTTAAGAGTTTTAGTCAAATGTTTTATAAGATAGTATAGATAAATATACTTAAGGTACAAAATAGAAACTAGAAAAATAAGGGGTGTAATAGAAAAATATTGAAAAGGTTAAAAGTAAGAAATTATATAGATTATAGGGGTTTAAAATGAAAATATATAAAATGTTAGAAATAAAAATATAAAGACATTGTTTTTACTGCTAATTTGTTGTTTAATGTAAGGATATGAAAAGTTTCATGGATAGTTTTTTCCCTTTTATTTAGTTTATCATGTAAGACTATCAGGGACGGACCTAGAAATTTTTTCAAACGGTGGCATATAATTAATATAGTATAATATACTTCTAAAAATAATTACAAAAAATATGGTTTTTATTGTACCGATAGGGCTGTAAATGAACCAAACACTCAGCGAACCGTTCGGCGGGAAGTTCGTTTATTTAATAAATGAACGAACATGAACTATTTTCTTTCGTTCGTTTAGTTAAACGAACGAACATGAACAAGAGTCTTGTTCGTTCATTTACTGTTGGTTTATATTTGTTTGTTTATGTTCGTTTATATATTAAGTTTAATATATTATCTTTTATTTATTTACTTTGAATTCAAATAATATTTATTTATGTTCGTTTAGCTTGTTCGTTTATGTTCGTTCGTTTAGCATGTTTATGAACGAACATAAACGAACACGAACACACCTTATTTCTAAACGAACGAACACGAACACAAAGATTTTCGTTCGTTTACCGTTCGTGTTCGTTCGTTTGTTCAGTTAAGTTAAACGAACGAACATGAACAAGACTCTGTTCGTGTTCGTTAAGTTCGTTTACAGCCTTAAGTACCGATAAACAACTCCTAAACTTGTACCCGATGCGTCTTCATCTTTTGAAAACGGTCAATATATACCCAAAAAATAATTACAAAAAGTATGGTTTTGGTTATTTGGGCTTTGTTTTGTTTGGGTTTTAGTTGCACCATTTGGATTTCAGGGAAATACGGTAGCACCTTCTAAAACGATACGGTAATAATACGGTGGCACGTGCCACCCATGCCACCACATTAGGTCCGCCCATGAAGACTATTATAAATAGTCATTTATTTTGTCAATGAAGGGTTATGCAAATTGACATTACCTCGACTCAAATTCCATCTTATTATTGGTATCAGAGCCACGAATACACGTGGCAAAAATAACGCTGAATTCCAAAACAATTTGAATGAAGCCTCGGCTCGACATGGATCTAATTTTGATCAGATCCATGCTACACTACAAATTGTATTAACCGAGT